TTTTTTTTTTTTTTTTTGTAAAGATGGGATCTCACTATGTTGCCCAGGCCGATCTCAAACTTGGTGTCTCAAGCAATCCACCCACATGTAATTCATGTTGGAATTACAGGCATGAATCATGCCCACCCTCTGTTGGGACATTTTATCTGTGTAGTATTTTGGTATATTCTGGCAATTTCTTAGTAAATATAGAAAAGAGCTGCTGCTTTTGTTCAAGTACAGAGTCCTGCTGAACATCCTCTTGGTTTGCATTCACCTTCTAATAGAGGGCTTTCCCGAATTCTTTCCCATGAAAGCCATGCAGAGTTTTGCACAGGGACTGCCATGGCTGGGGTCAAGGCAGACTGATACAGTTGCATATGAAACACTTGGAACCTCAAGTTTATCACCGTGATGAATTATTTTCCTGTGGACCCCATTTTTAAGTGGGAGTTCTGCAACTCACAGTCTCCACACTCGTAACTTAGACAAATTACACCTAGAAGTGTTTACTCAGCCACTTTAATTCAATTTGACTTCACGTAAGACATTTAATTCAACAGATATTTATTAAGCTCCTCTGTAAAAGGGACTCTGACAATGTTCTGTCCTTTCCCAGCGTAATCTAAGCTCATCTTGAATGATGGTTCCCACGTCTTGCTATTTCATTACCTAAAAGAGCTACGTATCACCTGTATACATAAAGATTCTCACTGTTTAAGCTCTCTTAAATGCTTTATGAAAATATTTAGTAAGCCACTGCTTTATCCTCAATAGGAATGGTCTGCTTTAACATTGTTAATTTTGTGTGTGTGTGTGGCTGGGCTTCAGTGCCCAGATACATGGCCAAACATTATTCTAGATGTTTTCATGAAGGTGTTTATGAATGAGATTAACATTTAAATTGGTAAACTTTGAGTAAAGCAGATTGCTCCCCATAATGTGGGTGGGCCTCATCCAATTAGGTTTTTGAGGAGAAAAGTGCTATTTTGGCAGCAGTGGACATCCTGGGTGGGGCTGGAGTTTGCTGGAGACTCTGACTAATGTTCTTTCTGGAGAAGGGATGTAGGGATGGTCTGGATGTTTGATTCATGACTGGGTATATGACATGAGTGGTAAAAAATCTCTGGGAGAACAAAAGGGAGAGAAGCGGACCTCTCATGATAGACCCCCAGAACAATCTAAAGAGTCATGTAGGCCTCCAAGAAGGCATCAAAAATGTGTGCAATTTTATTAATTGATTTGAATAATGTTGAAGTTTTATTTTCAGGTTGCATTGTGTATTTTTGGTGCATTACTCTGTGCAGTTATTTCATCCAAGACCAGAGGGCGCTGAAGATTGCTTACTCCACTTTATAACCCTTCTGACCTCAGGGGTGTTGACTTGAGGCAGGAATACACACCATCTACCCTGCTTTTCCCCCACTGATGCCAGTCCTTACTGGTCACAGGGAGCAGTGCAGCAAGCTTCACTCCTGGAGTCCATACAACTCTGACTGATATATGCAGTAAATGAGTTGCTACCTATGTGTGGGGGGCATACCTTTGTGAATCACTTCACAGTTTGAAGACACTGTTTCAAGAAAACTTTGCAAGTGTCTCATTTCTTAATGTCACAAGCCATTCTGATTTAAAATCCTAACCTCTCTCTACGTATTAGCTTACAAAGTTCCTTTTTTTGCCTGGGAGGTTTAATTAAAGCAAGATGAAACTATACTTAATAACCTTCAGTTGCCTGAAAGAGTTATTACAGAAATGCCTAAGGTATTACCAGAAAGGAGCTTAATGTCTCAAATAAATGTCAAGTTTTCCAAATCAAACTCATAGGCAACTTAATGGGGAATAAATGTCACAATTATCCATACTTTTCCATCTTTTTTTTAAAGAAAGAAAACATGCACACAGTGAAGGGAATCAGAATCTATTTTTATGTCCCCAGAGTTATAAACATTTGTATCAAAATATTTACAATTATAGTATATGAAATAATCTATGAACGAAGAAGCCAAATACAGTACAAGAACAACCCACCAATGTAATGCAAATTACATGAGACATAAATGTCACAGAAAAAAGCAAAAGACAAGGGAATACATGGTTTACTCCAGTCATAGTTCAGTTTCTTAACAAACTGCAAGTATCTCTTTTGGATATATCTGATATGTAAGTATGTTTCTGCACATAAGATGGCCTTATATATTCATGTGCTAAGTAAATCATAATGAAAAAGTCCATCATCCCACCATTTTTGCTGGCCACTCTCTCTAATCCCAGCTCTCAACATTTCCTTAACCAGAATAAACATAGAGAAATAAACTTAGTAATAGTCCCTTTACATAAATACCAGCAAACATGGCATTAACAACTCCCTAAACAGGAAAGGTATAAAAGAAATGGATGAGGAGAAACTAATGGAGAAAAGTAGGCAAGATATCTCAGGTTCTTCCTGGGGTAGATCTTATTGTCAGAGTAATAAAGGAAATGTCTCCCCCTTCACCCCCAAAACACCCTTTAGACAGAATCTGAGATGGCTTAAAATAGCTGCTCCAGAGCAAAACAATGCCTTTTTAGCCAGGAATAACATGCAACTTCTAAGTCCTATAAAGAGATGCTCCTGTGGCAGCAGACAGCTCAACTACCATCTGACTAGGTACCACAGGAGTTTTTGCCTTTTTTTAATGCTAAACAAAATAATCTGCCCATCACCTACATTTTGATTTATCTTGTGGGATTTTCTTATTTTCCTGGGAGCACAGGCATTCTGTTCTTATCATGACTCTAAAATATAGTATGCTTAATACTTCACAATTAGATAGCACCTTTCACCCAAGGGCCTGTTTGGCTGCAGTGTGGTGTGTGTTTTAATTAGCTTCCAGAAGTGCCTCACTTGTGAAATAGGGTTAGGAGAGGCCTCGAAGAAGTGACCACTTCAACTAGTGTTGAAGCTAGAGCTAGAGAGCTCTGATTCCCCAACATGGATAATCAGACAAAACTTACTCAAAAATGTAAAGTATAGTGGAAGAATAGTAGGATTGTGTTACAAGAAGCCATGTCCATCTCTCTCCTGATATATACTTAACAGATACATTGACTGCATTGAGGGGAATCCTAAAACCATAACCCTAATATAACATTCTTGCAAGATTGCCACTTAGATCTCCTAGTTTATGTGGTGCTTTCATTAGTGGCTTTAGAGAAACTCCAGAAGAGCTGCCTTGGCTTCAAGCGAGAGGCCGAGCAAAGTCCATGGCAAGAGGGCTCCATGAAGGACAGCCATGTGAGGTCTAGGCTGGGTTCTGACCACCCCCCAGGCCTTCCATTAGGAAAAGTTCTCTTTCTTGGTTCAGCTAACCAACCAAGTTGGCCTTACAAGCCATCTCCCTTCCTCCCATTTTGTCACTGAATTCCACAGACCTAAGTATCTGTTCTTCAGAGGGGCAGTGGCTTGCTGGCCAAAGCCCCCACAGTGGGTACTCCAGGCTGGAATGTGATGTGTGATGTTTTGCTTTGGGTCAGAAGGGCAGAACTGGCTTTCAGCACAAGCACAATACCTGCTCTTGCCAAAACTTGTACCGCTATTTTAACTTGGTGCACAGTAGGTATATGGACCTCGGTGCATGACCCAGATCCACCCTCGGAAGAGGAGCTGGTGGTGAGGCAGCTGATGTGCTCCAGGCAGTGCGAGTGACTGAGAACAGCTGGAGGCCAAGTCTGGTGGCCGGAGGGAGGCTGGCATCAGGGAGCATCAAGGTACTAGCCGGATGCTTTGACCCAAGGGCAGGGGCTTGGCAGTAGAGAATCTCCTCAGTAACCATTTGGGTTTTGGCCTCTTCCACTTTCTCCCCCCCTCCCCACCCCCTCCCCTGTCTTGGTTTTTTCCATTCAGCATCTTCCACTTCCCTCCCAGGTTCAACAGCTTCCTCCTCCCTCCCCCCTGATCCCCATAAATTTGTTCAGCCTCATTTCTTTCTCAAGACCAGATAGACGACGCCAGTGATGAAGCTGAAGCAGAAGCAGATCCAGGTGAGGATGAAGCAATAGCCATGGTGACTTGTCTGGCCACCAAAAGTGGTCCTAGAACCGTTTGCATAATGGTTAGTGTACACGGATGCTCCGATCATAATGCACAGCCCTGCAGGGAGAGAAAAGGATGTGTAGGCTTTGATTAAAATAAGGAAAAGGTTTTTATAACTTAAAGACCCTATATCCCTCATTGGCAATGGGAAGATAAACTCTGGGTGTTTGTCCCCAAACAGTAGTTTTGCCTTGGACCAAGCTTGAGGGTTGTGTTGCTAAATTACCAGGGTCTGTGCTCTCATACCTGTGCTGCTTTTGTGTGGCTGCAAGTGTGAAGTAGAACACTGCACACCAGGCCCACCACCCAGCTGTCCTGACTGGCTCCCATAGCTAGGAAGGCTCCTCAGGGACACAAAAGAATGTGGCCTTCCACCAGACTGCACTGGGGACAGGACAGTAAGAATCACAAAAACTACATGCACTGTGGCAGTGCACGTCTTTCCCCAGACCCCCACGTTCTTCAAGTTTCCTGTATAGCCATGCCACTGATGGATGGATACCCCAACTTGGGATCTGCCCTGGAGCACTGGTTTTAAACCATGAAGCAAGTGAGTGTTCTTAATCTAAGGTCCTCCCTCCACAAGAGAACAGATAACACAGAAGAAAACTGCACCCGGTGGTTTCATTGACCAACTTCATCTCTGCCAGGAGCACTCATAGTAAAACTGACTTAAATGTTTCTCCTGCATAAGCTGGAGTCCACCCTGAGATACTCACAGCACACAAGCATGGTGGCTCCTGAGAGGATGAACCGGTTTCCCTTCTCCATGGTGAAGAGCTGGAACACGAAGACCACAAGGGAGATGACAGAGAAGATGATGGACAGAATCATGAAGGCCTGCACGGACTTGAGGGCATCTGTGGGCACAGAAGAGGGGAGCAAGGGCATTAGATCACCCCAGGGGCTGCATGTTACATGGCCACACCCCCATCAGCACCGGATCTACACTTTTATACCTACCGTCATGTACAAATGGCAGGGTCTTATTGCAGAAATCAGCCTCACAGCCTTTCCAAAGACCATCTGATGCGTTCCCAGACTGTGAAACCAGCCAGACCTAAAACCAGAAGGAAAGAAAAAGTTGATTAAAGCTGACCCACTGCTTTAAAAAACAAAGACAAATCACCTTGCATCAGGACCAAATCTTAATCAAGACACTCTATTTAGCCCTAAATATGGCTGAGCAGCCTATCTCTGGGTGGAAATAGGTCTGATTAAAACAGACGTCAGAAAAGTCCCAAGAGACCACAGAGAGAAAAACACGAAGCCTGGGGGAGCGAGGTAATCACCTAACCTCCTTGGGCTTCACATTCTTCATGACTTAAAAAAAAAAAAATGGAGGGTGGCGCCTGTGGCTCAAAGGAATAGGGCACCAGCCCCATATGCCAGAAGTGGGGGGTTCAAACCCAACCCTGGCCAAAAACTGCAAAAAAAAAAAAAAAAAGGAAGTAGTTCAACCAAAGTGATTTAAAATTCTAAGGTTCTAAGAAACAGAAACCCTAGAAGAGGAAATTGGTTTTACATATGTACAATCTGTAAACTCTATTAATATTGTTTCACTGAAGGATCTGGCTCACAAGGGAGGGGAAAGTTAAAGAAAAACGTCCAACTGAAGACAACTAGGAAATGTAAGGGCTACTGGGAAAACTGCAATAAGTCTGGGTGGTCACTAAGCCACTTCATCTGAACAGAAAGATCAAACATGACTGTGGCAGCATGCAAAGTAGTTTCCCAGTGAAATTGCACAGCAGGAGCTTCCTGTGGGCACCGCTGAAGCAGAAGGGTGACCAGAACATATTCCCCAGGCTCTCTGATGTGCTGGCATCACCCCCTACCTGGCCCAAGGAAAATAATTATCCTTCTGGAGTAGAAAACAAATGCAGGGTCCTGTGCACCCACAGAGAGAGAGGAAAGGCAGGGCCAAGGACACGCAATCACCTGCCCTCCATTCAGTAAACAACTGTGTGCTGAGCCTTGTGTTTAGGGGGCTGATGACTGGCTGATAGGCTGCACTTTGGCACCCATTCATACCCTTTAAAGGAGTCTATCAGACTTATCTTGAGAGATACAGGAGCTAGCGTCCAGAATGGCTAAATGACAAAATCTGGAGGAGTTGTGTCTTAGCACAACTATGTTCAAATCCACTTTGCTTATAATCGCACCCAGATGAATTTCCAACACTTGTCTGTCTGAATCTTAAAACCCATTGATCTCTTAACTGTAATAAGGACCTAAACAGGTTCTGGAAATATCGTTTGCCTGTCTAGTGCCTAGTGGCCTTGGTTTTTAAGTCCAAGGAACTGTTCGCTTTTTTCTGAGAAAATCAGGTGCCATAAACTACCACTAGAGGTCAGAGTAGACCAAGGTTCAGAGAGAAGCGTCTGCATCTCTACCTCAGTATATTTTTGTGTTGTTTGATCTGAGTGAGTTAATTCAGTGACACCAGGTTAATCTTGCAAAATTTTACTTTTACACGCGACTCTCCACTTAAAGCTTGAATTCATCAATCTGGCAATCAAAGCCTCTCGTCCTCTCACTCCTTCATATCCATCCTCCTACTCAAAGAGGCCGGGTGGGGTATGGTGGTTCTTGCCCAAGATGATGGACAGAATCATGAAGGCCTGCACGG